TACCCCTCTACACTCAGGGCTAAGCCTTTTTGAGATCTTAGCCCCCTGAGCCCATGCCGGCATGAATAAAGCTGCTTCCTGGAAAAAAAAAAATGCTCGTTCATTGAGATTTTCTTTTTAATGACGCTTTGAAATAGGAATTTTCTTTAGACTACAGATATATAAGTGGCTGTCTTAATACTATGTATCCAAAGTAGTCCATACTATAGGTATAAGCTATGTCCACATTACCTGATTTAAACTTACCCACTGTTCTCATGTTCACATCGAGATGCACAAATAGGCTGTTCCTAAACCTTTGACTAAACTTAGTAATATTGTAATAATAATGACTTTACCCTTTGTAGCATGGTTTAGAGTTTACAAAGTGCTTTCATATTTGTTGTCTGCCATTACAGAGGGTCACACACATATCCTTCACAGCCTGATTTGAAGCAGGAAAGGGCCAAGCTAAGAACCCCTAACTTAAACAGAAACTTAATTCTAGGCTGCACGGGACCAGGCCAAGAGTATATGACCACAACCCCTTTGTGTGCATTTGCAAAGTAAGAAAAATTGGCATCACAACTAAGGACTGCATGAGCCAAGTTCTCTGCCTAGAGCCCACTTGTGAGGAGACAGTAAGTGTAGGAACGAAGTCTGGGGGTTCTTTTCCTACCTTTCATTTAAAAAATGGAAACTTTTGATCAGTTGTAGTACACGAAATGATGCATATGCCAATGAGAAGGACATTTATGTGAGTTTGATAGTAGCATATCCAAGAGGGAAGTTGATAGAAATGCCTTTTAATTGTATAGCAGGAGTAGAGAAAAAAAATTTTTTTTGAGTCACAAGGATACACACAAGGGCATTTACAAGTACTATTAAATTATTTAGTTTTTATTTTAAAGTGTGAGGAATATAAGATCTGGAAAGAAAGCAAAATTCAATAAGTACAAATAATGTTGGGTATATTGCACATCTGTCATGGTTGGCTGAGAAGGAAAAGGGAAAAATGAAAAAGGAAGACGAATAATAGGAAAAAAGAGAAAGAGGGGAGTAGAACACAGAGAAAGAGATGATCAAAGAGAGAAATAGCAGGATTACAGAAAAACAACTGGAAAATTAGTGGAGGGTGGACTCAGAGTAAGCTCTGAAGTAATACTGAAAAATGGTCTACTCTGGTTACACCCTGTGGCTAGTTGACCCTGTTAAGCATTGTTGAAGGCCTGTTCTTTAAAATGCTAACTCCTCCTGTGTTTTTCACCTGGACCTCGCAGGGAGCCTCTGCAGACCCCTGTTGGCCACGCGATGCATCTGAGGTGTCTGACTTCCTAGGATTTCGGCCCTAAACAGCTCTGCTTTATTAAAAGATGCCCCAGCTAAAACTTGATTATGTTGCAAAAAGAAATCGCACGCATAAGGAGGTTCTTTCCTCTTGTTTGTCCTTAGAGCTAAATGGAAATAAGGCAGAGAGCCAGCCTCTGCTGGCAGATAAAAGGCTCCCACCCCTTCAGTCAGAATCTGAGGTGTACCTCTGAGCACTGTTCACTTAATAGCAATCCACTGTAACTAAGTACAATTAACTGAGCGTTGGAGACTTGCTTTTTCTCCCCACCATGTTTTCAGCTTGAATTTTTAGTTTGCAGAGCTATGTCATCTATGAACGGTGTGAAATTCTTTTGGCTTGGTTATTTTAGAAACTATAGAACAAGTTAAATTTCTTCACAAAGCTTATAAACGTATGGGTCTGCCAACTTTTTACATTATTAAGCCTCACGTCCCAACAGTCTTGTCTACTCCATGGAACAGTGTCTGTGGGCAGCGAATATGAAGGTGGGAGTTACAAACTAGGGACACTCTATATTAAGTTTTAAAAATAAAACGTTGTTACAGTTTTAGATTTCTTTTGTTTTTCTACAGTCACTACATGAGACAGATACTGGAAGCTCTACGCTATTGTCATGATAATAACATAATTCACAGGGATGTGAAGGTAAGTCCTTTTTATCCCTATAATGTGCACAAAAAGAAACTGGTAACAGTGATAATGATCAGAAATTTTTCCTTAATATTCTTATGGAGAGCATCTTAAAGTTAATTTTGCTTCCAAATAAAAATATATTTAACTGCTTTATATTTGAAGAGTCGTACTCATTCTTAACAGGAACACTTTTATCATTTCAGTTTCTTCTTATTAAAATGTACACGTATTCCAAACGTTTGTTAATCCTCTTCTGCCATTATGTGCATAAGAGAGAAATGAAAAATCCAACAAATAGTAAGAACCAAACACTATCCTATCCTAAAGTTTATTGGGGGTGGGGTGCAGAGGTGGGGATTTGGGATTGGGTTTCTACAGTAAAAGTTCATCATATACTTACATTTTTGTAGTTTTGCAGTATAGAATAGTCACCTTTTTTTTTTGCAGTTTTTTTTAACATAGTCTGAAATCATAATCATAAATGTAATGTGGTTTTGCACCCTTAGGAATGTGCATCTTTCTGCCTGTTTGATCCCAGTATTAAATTCATGACAACTGTCAGTCCCTGGCTCATAACGGTGTCAGGAAGAACATGGGGGCATGCCAGAAAGGAAACTAGAGTACCTCCCTCCTGATCCCCAGGCCTCGATCACTAAGAGCCCCTGAGGTCTCTCTGGCCCTGTTTGTCCATTTTCTCACCCTGGTATTTTTTTACTGGCCTCTCTCAAACCGACAGCATCCATAGACATGGTGTTCTCCTTCCCTCAAAAGATATTATCAGAGGCCTGGCTATTTCAATGTATTTTAATGGTTAAGAAAATTAAGTAGAGTTTAGTTAAGTTTTCTATAATGTTTGGGAAATTTTAACCGAAAATTCTCATGGTTAGGAGCTGAGGTAAAGCATGAGCCATTCCAAGACAGTCTAGTGGAATGTCACCATAGCAAATGAAAACAGTTATTGGAGAAATGGACAAAACACACATTACTTGCAAAATCTTACTCTTTTCAAATGTGATAGGAGAATGGGATTGTTATTCTCAGTACTCAATACTGAACAACCCAATGGATACATAGCACTTTTATAAAAGTATTTTTCAGTTATGCAAACAAATCAGAAATCTAAAAAGTAAAAGGAGGGAAACTGCCAATGATAGTAGCGGGCTGTGTTACTCTTCTAATTAAGGTAAGAAAATGCATATATACAGA